ACCTGTAGCCTCTGTGAAAGAAACGGACGAACTGAATTTTATATCGGAGAAAGCACCCGCCCTGTACGTTATCGATTCAACGAGCACCTAAGTGACGCTCGCCTGAGAAAACCGGACACCCCACTAGGTGAACATATTGCTGATTCGCACTTTAACGCAAGTAGCACTGAAATCAACTCCGCCTTTACTATTGATATAATCGGTTGGGGACGGGATTCTGCTGAACTAAAAATCACTGAATCCATCAAAATTAGAGACCTAAGGCCCACATTAAACATGATGAAAAGCTCATGGCCCCTCGCTCGTAAACCATAGGTCATAACACACACACACACACACACACACACACACACACACTTCTCTCTCATTCACTCACCCCCTCACTCACTCACACACTCACTCTTTCACTCACTCACTCACAAATTTATACACTCACTCACTTATGTCTACCCTTTGTTTCACATGTTTACTCTACCACGCACACGCACACGTACACACATACACACACGCACACACACATGCACCTAACTGACTTACCCGACTCACGACTGGTTGACTGGAATCGAGCTAAGAACAGCGGCAATGTTTTTCAATATGATTATAATGTCAATGTTTACTGACCGGGTGTTGATGATGCATGCGGCTGATGTTGAGGTGAGATTTATTGACATTGTTGTACCTATGATATATTGTGTGCATGTCATGTTGTAGTGTACGTAATGATACATTGTTGTACATTATTTACTTGCCATGTGCAATGTACCACACTATTTGCAACGTATTGCAATACGTTTAAAAAAGTGAGCTGCTATGAGGATGCCTGGAACAATATGATTGTGCTCTAGCTTTTGAAAATCAAAAACATGTTAATTAATTTATTCAAACTTGATGATGGCGTAATGCCGAAAGCTTGTTTTACTGTTTTAGATATTTATTTTGCCTAAAATAAAAACACTTTGACATGCGTGAGATCATTTCAAGCCTCGTTATGTCCGGAAAATGTTTACCCAAAGAATCGTTAATAAAATTTGCAATTTTTTTTTAAACTCATCTGAAATTCATACGATGCTTAACAATTCAATGAGAAGTAAGTGGGCAAACTGTTTCATGCGAATCGGTTTTGCTTAGCAGGAGTGGTGGCGTGTCAAAAAATCATGCGATTTTAGCAGCCAATGTTCAGCAGCAGGCTAGCGCCTATAATTGACCCATATGACGACTCGTAGGCTGCATAAAAAGCATATGGAAACAAAATGGGTGTCCACAAACGCTACGATGTTCATTAGAGATCGAATTCTCAGTTGGGCTTGCATTGTCACTAGCAATGCACATTACGAATGAACGAAAACTGTTTGGAAACATTTGACCAAAGCCCAAAAGCAAAACACGCCAATATTGCATCGAATGATCGACGACCGCATGAACATTTGTGGACAGCATTTCAAGTACCCCGGTGCTGAAGAACACTGAAGCTCTGCTGCTAATCACTACTCGTACTCGTGCATCGTTTTTTCTTCTTTTTTTTCTTTTGCTGTTGCACTGAAGCATAAGGTGCACATAGGCGGCGGAATGGGGAGGGCACCGGGGCGGGGCAACGTGCCTCCTTTTATTTTGGCATTTTAACATTAGCCCTATGGGCGTTGCATGGAAAGAATGGGACCAAAATTCGGCAGTGCCCCCCAGTCCCCACCCCCCTTAAAGATGTTCCGCCGCTAGTGAAGGTGCAGGTTTATCCTTGGGTTTATCTACGGAAAAACTGTTAGTTGTATTCCATGAATTCTTCTTCCAATAAATTCTTCTTGCATCGGAGTTTTAAGCGGTCATTTCTTTGAAGTGCACCTATCACGACAAAAATGATCCAAATGCGCTCTAATTTACGTTATTTCCTTCTCATGGTCTTATGATAACACTGTGTGAAAATGAAATGGAGTGATGCGACCGTGACCGGTACCGGGAACTCAACAGGCAGGTCAAGTCTGCTATCCGCCGGGACAGCCGACAAGACATCCAGAGGCGGATCCAGGAGAACGGCAGGGGCAGTATGTGGCAATCGGTGCGGAGCGTGGTCTCGGGTGGCAGAGCGTCGAGGTCGGCTCCGAGTGCCAGTCCCGACGACATGAACCGATATTTTGCTAGCATCGGCACTCGGATCGCCCGTCAGGTTGACTCGACCGGGCCGGAGCTGCCGGTGCGCCTGCCGCGAGTTGTCGCCGGCGGTTTTGTGGTGCAGACGGTTACACCGGAGCGAGTAGTCAGCACTGTCGCCGCTATGAGCAACAGTTCAGCGAGTGGTGCAGATGGCCTGTGTGTGCGCTTTATAAAGTCTTGTCTCCCAGCTGTGTCACATGTTCTAACACATATTATTAATTCCAGTCTGGCCTCTCACACAGTCCCGCGACCTTGGAAAATGACACTAATCCATCCTATCCAAAAGAGCCCCAGGTCCACTGACACTTCAAACTACCGGCCCATAGCTATCCTTCCTACTATAGCCAAAATCACAGAGCGAATCGTTTATGAGCAGCTCTATTCCTACTTCACCGAACATCACCTTTTCTCCACATGTCAGCACGGGTTCCGCACAAACCACTCGACAGAGACAGCACTCCTCACCATGACTGACAGGATGTTTGAGGCGATGGACCGGAGGCAGGTGGCGTTGCTGTGCATGTTGGACTTGTCCAAATGCTTCGACGTCATCCCTCACGACCGGCTACTGGAGAAACTCCAACAGTATGGTGTCGATACTCGCTGGTTTGCTAGCTATCTCGGTGACCATTTTCAACAGGTTGTGACGCGGACACCGGACGGTCGTAGCATGCTCTCTCAACCATTGGCCAACCCCATTGGCACCTACCAGGGATCCGCCTTGGGCCCCCTGTTGTACAGTGCATATGCAAATGACATGCCGTTGTTTCAGCCTGAGAGTGTCTCGCATGCCACGTGTCTAGTGCAGTACTGTGATGACACTCAGTTGGCCGTGTTCGGTAGCCCCCGGGACGCTGACGCTCTGGTGGCGTGCATGGAGCAAAATTTAGCAGCGCTCGCAGTTTGGCTTCGTAAAAACGGTCTCAAAGTTAACGCAGACAAAACTCAATTATTGGTCATCGGCACACGCCAAAACACACGGCAACTTCCACCCATCACGGTCGATTTTATGGGCGCCACCATAGAGCAGTCACCGACGGCGAAGAACCTTGGCGTCACATTTGATGCACACCTGTCGTTTGACACTCACGTATCCGAGGTTGTGCGCCGCTGTACAGGAGTGTTGAGTGGCCTCTGCCACACCAGACACTACCTACCCAGGGACACGCTAGTCACGCTCGTGCAGGCTTTGGCTGTGTCAACGATTCGGTACGCCATCAGTGTTTACGGTGTCTGCGGTGTCACGCAGACCAGTAGGCTTCAGAGGCTGTTGAACTTCGGCGCTCGCGTTGTCTCGGGTCGCCGAAAGTTCGATCATATAAGTGACGTCATGAGAGAACTGCGATGGCTCTCAGCTGAGAACTTGTGGCGATTTCAATCAGTCATGCTGCTGAAGAAGATGCTCGCCACGGGACAGCCCGAGGTTCTGCGTGCTAGTATAGCGTGTCGAGGGAGCGTGCATGGCCGCGGCACTCGACAAGCCGATCATCTGGACACGCCTATGATCCGAACGGAGGCCGGCCGCCGTCGATTTCTGTATAGCGCTGTGACCATGTATAACAGCCTCCCAGCAGCACTCCGCGAGCTAGGCCTGCACAGATTTAAGAAGGAGTACCGGGCGATGCTGCTGAGGGAACAGTATGGCGATGACTAGTTCTCCCTGTTTAAGAAGAACACTGCATGATGAGGTATATTTTTACACGCTGTATGGTCGTATATTGTTTGTCTGTCCTGAATGATGTGCATACGATTCCCAATTCCGTGATTATTGGACACGACTGCCAAGAACAGCCATTGTATGATGGAAAGGACAGTCACGATGTGAAATAAATGATCCTGAAGTAAAAGTGGTATGGAAATTTACGCGCGGAAACTTTTTTGGGATGCGCCCTGGCGCTAAAATCATACGTTGTTTTTTACGTGCCACCATCCCTGCTAAACACAACCGATTCGCATGAAACTTTGCCCACTCATTTCTCATTGTATTGTTTAAGTATCGTATAAATTTCAGACGAGCTGAATAAAAATTGCAAGTTTTATTAAAGATTCTTTGGGTAAACTGTTCCGAGACACCCTGTACTTTGCTCGATCCGCTCGCTCCGATATGACACCGCTTCTTCATATGCTGATCCTGATTCCGGCTATCGGGTGTTAATACAGTCTGTGCCTCCCTCCAGCTGCTGATCCCGCACCAGGTGCTGGCTTGCCTCAGCTGCTAATGGCGTTCTCACCTTCGGTTCGGGTGCTGATCGCGTTCCGTCCCTTCCTGTGTTGACCCCGTCCGTCTCTCCGTGCAGGTGCCTACCCGTCCCGGTCCGTCCCTCCGTGCAGGTGCTGATCCCGTCCCAGTGGCTGATCCCGTCCGTGCAGGTGCTGGTCCCGTCCCAGTGGCTGATTCCGTTCCGTCCGTCCGTGCAGGTGCTGATCCCGTCCCAGTGGCTGATTCCGTTCCGTCCGTCCGTGCAGGTGCTGATCCCGTCCCAGTGGCTGATCCCGTCCGTTCGTCCGTGCAGGTGCTGATCCCGTCCCAGTGGCTGATCCCGTCCGTTCGTCCGTGCAGGTGCTGATCCCGTCCGTTCCTCCGTGCAGGTGCTGATCCCGTCCCAGTGGCTGATTCCGTTCCGTCCGTCCGTGCAGGTGCTGATCCCGTCCCAGTGGCTGATCCCGTCCGTTCGTCCGTGCAGGTGCTGATCCCGTCCCAGTGGCTGATCCCGTCCGTTCGTCCGTGCAGGTGCTGATCCCGTCCGTTCCTCCGTGCAGGTGCTGACCCCGTCCCAGTGGCTGATCCCGTCCGTCCCTCCGTGCAGGTGCTGATCCCGTCCCAGTGGCTGATTCCGTTCCGTCCGTCCGTGCAGGTGCTGGTGCTGCGGAACCACGGCGTGGTCGTGTGCGGCGAGACCGTCGAGGAGGCCTACCTGCTGCTCGACTTTTTCATGATCGCCTGCCAGTCGCAGGTGGCTATGATGGCCGCCGGCGTGGACGGCCTCGCCCAGATCTCCAGCGTCGCCTTCGAGAACATGCTCAAGGTGGGGGCGCCACCGGCCGAGCGGGGAACCTCTTGGGCCTGGTCGGAATCGGCTGACAGAACTTTGTCAGCCGAGAATAAGCCCCGCCCACACCGCGCTGCTGATGGGCTTGTTCATAATCGGCTGACAGGAAACGTCAGCTGGAGGGTTGAAACTTGAGGAGAGGTAGCATTTTCGCGCTTTTTTCAACGACTATCTTCCGTTACACTATATTTCTGAGATTTATTTGCCGAGGCTATAGAAAAAATTACAGGATTGATAATTGAGGCAGTGCTGGCATTTCGATTTGTAGGTGCTGTTTTTAGGCTCACTCGCACATTGCGCCATGAAAAAGAAATAATTGCTATCTTTCGTGAAAAATATTAAATACAAAATACGTCGAAAACATCGTACCTATATAAAAACTAACCGCCTGCACTTTGACTTTGAAAGCTGCGCTTTGACTTACATGCGCCACTTTCGAGCCATTTTGAATTTCGGCTGACGTGCTGCTGCCCTCTCCCAGCAGCCGAAAAGCCGGCTGTCAGCAGAGGTATGACGTCACAGCGCGGGAAGGTGTGATACGTCATCAATACCTCAACCAATCAGGGGCTTGGATCTCAGCTGACAACAGCACAGCAGCCGATTCCGACCAGGCCTCTTGTCAGGCAGACAGACAAACACCGCAAACAAACAGCTCAGACCAGGCCGTACAGGGACAGACAAACAGCTCAGACCAGGCCGTACAGGGACAGACAAACAGCTCAGACCAGGCCGTACAGGGACAGACAAACAGCTCAGACCGGACCCTCAGGGACAGGCTAACAGCCCAGGCAAACAGCTCAGACAGGCCACAGGGACAGACAAATAGCTCAGATCAGACAGGCCACAGCGACAAACACAGACAGCTCAGACCAGACCCTTAGGGACAGACCAGCACCTCAGACCAAACCACGTCGTTTTTCACAACGATTTCTTTATTTGTATATGTATTATTGCACGTAAATTGGATTTCGGGGCTATTTTAGTGCATTTTTTTGCGACGTACATGATGTGCATGCACAATGTTGTTCCACTCCTCAGAAGCTATCAGTTGACTGGAACGCTGAATTGCGCCGTTTATCACGTAATTAAGCTTGTCGATGGTGAGGTCTGGGTTACAGCATTAAACTGTCACATCGGTCCGTGTGATGCGGCACAGTCTACCACTCCAGGCAACTGATTGCCCATGAAAAGTGGAACGTCATTTTGCAGTCAACTGTACTTGCGTTGTTTTCAGATGAAAGAAGAAGCCAAGGGCGTGGATACGAAGACCATTTCGGAGGGTAAGGCGCTGCAGTTCGGTCAGCAGGACTTTGAGGCGTGTATGAGGAAGCTGGACCGCGCTGGGCTCAGCACCGGCTACCCGTACCGGCGCCCCGAGCTGCTGGACCGCCAGTGAGAGCTGCTGGCCGCCGGTGGGAGCTGCTGGGCCGCCAGTGGGAGCTGCTGGGCCACCAGTGGGAGCTGCTGGGCCGCCAGTGGGAGCTGAGTACCGGAGCTGCCGTGCTGCCAGTGGGAGCTGAGTACCTGTACCGCTCGGTCTCCAGTGGGGTCTCAGTACATGTACCGGTACCTGTACCGCTCGGGGTCCAGTGGGGTCCCAGTGCCTGCACCGGTATCGGTACTGCCCGGGGTACTGAAGGGTCTCAGTACCTGCACCGGTATCGGTATCGGTACCGTAAGTCAGCAGTGAGGCCCGCCGCACAGTAGCGCAGACACACGATCAAACTCAGAATGCAAAATAACGTAAACAGATGATGTAAGTAAATTACCAGCAAACGAAAAGATCGGGGGCCAAATAAATTTTACAACTCTGAACGGCAGAATCGATATCAATTATGTCACGATGTCGATCATGTGTTGCTGAGTACCTGACGTTTGTTTGCTGGGCACAACCCGCTCAACGTTTGCCCGTGGTCGTCGGCGTGTTAGGGCACTGAGCAGCGTTTGGCCCCGGCTGGTGGTCTGGGCGGTCCCGTGAGATACACCGCTGTGTGACACCAGTTTTAGTTGTGTAACGTGCTGGCTAGGCTGTCGTTTGTAAGACATGTTATATGGTATTGGATATTTAATCGCTGAAATGCTTGACTCGTGTATGAACAATGAACATAGGTATAAACCGACGACGAATGTGTCAACTGGGCGGCTTATTGTTGAGAGCTGGCGATCGAGTCCGGTGTCGATATCTGCGTTACGGTGGAATGGTGATGTGTATATGCCGAAAACCCGTCCTTACTAAGGATAGGTTTTAACGTTAATAGGGACCAAATGACGCTTAATTTTGCAGCATGAAACTGAATCACACGACGTGGCCCTGAGCGAATAGTGTGCTTTGTATCGACCAAGTCAATACTACCACCAGACCCAGTACACTCCAGGCCTACTTGTCAGTTGTCAGTTGTCCCGAGAGAACGGTCTCCGACAGTCTAGAAGCGTTCTCCGCCGGTCTTCGCGAAAGTTTTTAACGCTGGCGTGTTATCAGGAAACACGATGCTGTGTTTCCACAATCCGTTAGCCGGCTTTTTAGCGTTGCCAAACTGCCAAACAAACTTGATAAGCTGGGCCGAGCACATTAGTCATTGATCTGAGGGCCACCCAAGTGAAGTGCCTATATTCGATTGCGAAAATTACCCCGTTTGACGGCTGATGTTATTGGCAGCCCGTCCTGGTCCCGTGCTCGTGTTGTGTCTCATTTTTCCCCGATGTAGAGCAGAGTGCGTCGCTCCGGTCCGGGCCGTGACGTCACGCCGCGCCGGCCGCTGATTGGCGGATGGCGCGCCGGTTGGGGCCGGGGCCGGGGGAGGGGAGGTGCAGCGGCAGTTGTGTGGCGGCGTTCGGAAGAGAGCCGAGAGGTGGGAGCGGGGGTGCACGTGTCGCGTGTGGGCACACCGTGAGGGCAGCGTTGTTCGGCAGAGCGTCGGATACTCGAACGGAGGTGAGTCTTCCCCTGAAAACATGCCAATTGCCGACTTGGTTAACTCTCTCCATTTGAGTACCGATGGATTGTAAAATCCGATCCGGGACGCGTTCATATAACAGAACGCCTCCCTCAATCGTTTTGGATGTCAAAAACTGAAGTGTTCTGCGTAATGTGTTCTGCGTCGGGTGTTAAGGCTCCATAAAATGCCTCTGATGGAATATAGGTAGGTACTTAATTCATAGGAACGGCACCGTCGTGTTCGTCGAAACATTTACTAGCTCTCCTCCCCCCTCCCCCAAATGGCAATGCATTGTCTGCTTTGTATGATATCTTCGTAGCAGTGATAACTTGGCCATTGGCAGTGTCGACATTGAGCGCGATTTTACAAAAAGAACGTTTCGCGCTGAACACTCGGAGCCATACCAGAAGGCACTACTACTGGCGCTCGGTACCTATTACCTCGGTACCTCGGTACCTACTGCTGTGCTTATAACATTTACTAAAATGAACTCGAGATGCCTCTTGAACGGCACCGGGCACGAGAGGCACCGAGGAATCAGGTGCCTACGGAGGGGGCAGGACAGACATGATGCATAATGACGGACATGACTGGTTGGTTGTGCTCGTATTGAGAGACTGACGCGCTGTAGCGGCGCACTCTCTCGTGGTCGATCTCGCGACTGCCGGCTCGCAGCACACTTGCTTGATCGACGCGCTCGCTCGGTCTCGGCAGTCGTGCCGCACTGGCGTGGTCTCGCGGCTCGCGGTCGTCACGCACTCAGCACTCGCTCGGTCTCGGGTCTCGGCTCGCAGGCATGGCGCACTGGCGCGGTTGTTGGACTGTGTCAGACCGTGACGATGACGCATCCCACGGATGGCGGGGAGGGTGAGTGCTGACTCACGTGGTCCCGTGGCCGGCCGGTGATCTCCAACCCTACCACTGGAGCTGGCTACCCCGCAACCACTGTTTTTAGTTGGGTAGTTTTTCCACCCCGGCGCCCAGACGTGATTGGACAAGAGCGCTGAATCACGAGAACGACAGACCGCTCGAAATGGGTTCGGCCACTTCGGAGCTCCTGTATTTGTCCCATGGCATGGCACAGCTATTCTCCACGTGTCTGGGTTGACGGTGGCACGTTAAACGCTCCATTGTAACATATGTCGTCTACCCCGCACAGTGGCAAATGAGCCGGAACACGTCGGGAAATGCAAGACAACGGAAGCAGCATTCGCGAATCGCATAGATTCTGGTTACCTACAGAAATCTATCTGCATACATGCCGACTAATGCAGGCATGTATACCCATTTGCCGTTGATTTTGGAGCGGCTGCCAACAGACGCCATGCGTCGTCGTGTCTCACTTTGGTCCGTGGTCACTCCAGGACCAGAGGTGCGCCGCCACCGCCGTGTAGTGGTCGTGGCTGGGCGCCGCTGCTCCCGCGCGGCCGGTCGCCGAGCGTGGGCGGCGCCCGGGGCGCTCACGCAGCGGCGCGGCCGTCTCGTCGCGTGCCCGGCCGGCCGGCCCTCCTCCCACCTCCTGGCGCAGCTCGGCCGCCGCGTTTCTCTCGGTCTGGGCAGCCGAACCCGCGGCCACTGCGGAGGCGGAGGAGCGGCGGGCCGGGCTGGCTCCGATCGGCAGCGTCTGTCCCGGTCCGACGGTGCTCCGGCTCCGCCGGGGCCGGTGTACGCTCACCTGACCGCCGCCCGGACGGGGGTTCGTGACGGACGGTCCGGCCACCGTGGGAGCCGGGAGGGGCGGCGCGGCGCCGGATGTGGCCGCCGCCAGACGACTAACGAGCCGCTCCGCCCGGGCAGTCGCCACCTGCCCGGCTTCCGGCGCCGGCAGGTGGGCCTCCCTCCTCAGATCGGTCCCCGGCGCCACACTGCAGCGACGTGTTCAGCCCCACACCGGCAGGAAAACGGCCGGAAACAGAAAAACACCCAGCCGAAATACACAGATCAACAGCGGCGCTTCCCGTTTGAAACGTCTGACAAGGGGAGACGAGAAGGGAAACACGCTCCTTTTTATGCCCACCATTAAACCGACACGGCACAGGCGGCGTGTGATTTGTGGAAGACGCTTGTAACCGGCCAGGTAAGGTGCCTACCCACGGACCAACCTTGTGGGCACCGATTACAGCTCGTCACTTCCATTGGGCCGGCTCATTCGCTCTTATCCCCGGGTGGTTTGAACGGAGAATAGTTTTGTTTTGAGCAGCTCATCCATTGCCGGGGCCAAGGTGGTGGACTGTGGAGCGTCCCCTACCGTCCCTGCCAGGCCAGCCTGTCGCCATCGTCCCAGCAGCCTGTTACCATAGCCCGTCTCCAGTCTGTCTCAGTAGTTTGTCCCACCAGTCTGTCCCACCAGTCTGTCCCAGTAGTTTGTCCCACCAGTCTGTCCCACCAGTCTGTCCCAGCAGTCTGTCCTACCAGTCTGCCCCTCCAGTCTGTCCCAGCAGTCGGTCCTACCAGTCTGTCCTACCAGTCTGCCCCTCCAGTCTGTCCCACCAGTCACCGGCAGCGTGCCTGCAAAGTGTTTCACCATTCAGCCACGACCTCTGTATACCACCGCCCCCTGGGCGGGGCGGCGCCGCTACCGAGGTAAATTTGAATACAAATTAGGTGGCGAAACGGCCTGGCTGAGAACTGGCAGCCACGCTCACCGCTCTTGTTTCCTGCGCCCGTCGCTAACTACTGGAAACCAGACAGCAGCTGCTGACAGACATGCAAACACGACTGCCTCGCCTGCTGACATGTGCTGACCCGTGAACTCTCGGGAGGCGGGGCTATTGCCATTCACATGCCTGCAGTGCACGAGAACGCTGCTCGTGTCGGCGGTAGCACGACGGCCCGATCCAAATGTAGAGGCCACGAGATAGCTGGCCTTTGCGAAGATAATCAGTAATCATAGAGCTTTAAAGGGACACAATTGTTACATTCACAAACGAAAGATGCGCGATGGCAATGACAGAGCATGCGTAGTTGGATACATCGAATTGTGTATAAACCCTTTACCTCATACCTCATACCATACGCCAATACCGGATTTTCAGAAAACCTTCAACTGGGGTCACACAGATGAAACCGATTTACTGTTGCGAATGTGAAGTGTATAGCGTGGAAAGTGAACATGGATGACAGTGACATGAGGTGATGAACTCACGGACATAGGAGTATTTCATATTCATATAGCCAGTTGTTTAAATGTCCCGTCTCGGCGGCAGCGGCTGACGCCTGCCGCGCCGCCACGGCGGCCGGCGCCTCCCGGTCCCGGTCCCACGGCGCGCTCAGCTGTAATCGGGGGCGGCCGTGCCGTGTGAAGCCCGCCGCGGAGGCTCCCAGCGCGCCACATCCGGCCTCGACCGGACCGCCGACCGGCCGCCCTCTCCCAGCCGGTGCGGCGACAAAGGAGTTCCCAGTGCAGCCCCGCGGGCCGGGACCGGCGGCCACCGCAGACCCCGCACACCGGCCCGCCCGTCACCGAGCGCCGAGCTCTGCCACCGGGAGCCCGTGACGCGCTGCCAGCGGCAGGAAAACACTCACTTTCAGTGCCCAGCCCCAGACAATATCCAACATGATCCATGTCAGATTTGCGAACGTCATGGTTACCTGCGTACCAGCCTGTCCCTCTAGACCTGTTGTGAAAATGTCCAAACAACACTGTCCGAACACTGGCCAGACACGGCATCCGCCAGGGTATATAGAACAACTGTCTCCGACAGACTCCGGCATCGGAGACTCCGGCATCCGCTGTCTCCGATGAGCAGTGGTCTATGGAGCGTTGTTTGTAACCTGAGGATTTTATTAAGTCAACTGTGACTGTGATTTTATGGACCAAAGTCCGTCTGGGATGGCTGAGGCTCCCTCCCAGCTCCTATACTCGACCCCCGGGGGCGGTGCCATATAGCTACCCTGGCCGCCGCGCGGTCGTTACCGTGCGGTGGGGCTGGCCGGCGCCACCCCCGCCCCGGGGGGCCGGCGCGCTCATTATGTATGGGTCCAGGACGGACGAAAACAACGCCGTGACGGCAGCCGCCGCGAGAGCGTCGCCGGCGCCGGGGCGGCCGTGGCCGTGGACGGACTCGGGTATTGACGGCAGGCGACAGGAGGGCGCCGGCAGGGCAGGTGTTGTCGGGGTATATTGAGGATAATGTAGGCATTTCTGTATTCAAGATAATTATTCTGTTAGAAAAAAATAAAAAATTTAAAAAAAAAGAATAATAATAGGGGAAGTTGGGGCAATGCCGGAGTTGGGGCAAAGCCGAAATTCGAGATATTTCGAAAACCGTAAGACATGGATGCCACTTGTCAGTGATGCTCTGAAGCTTAAGTGACTACAATTATCGCATGTTTGTTACGAGTCGTCATTCGGAATACTTCGGCTGTGAGGGCGCCAAGAGCCTCTTCAAGGTACGCGTTCCTTGTACTACATGCGCCTTTGAAGCTGCATTTCTTACTCATTATGCTACCGTTTGTCTGGCCAATTCGGTCAAGTAATCTTCAGCATGTCTTTGCATAAGTGTGCTGCCTATTTGAAATTTATACGACACGTTGAAAAGTTATGGGCCTGCAAATGAAAGTAGGTATGGCTGGCTGGGGTAATGCCGAAAACGTGCAATTGCGCACTTTAAAGCACGCTACGTGGACTTAACTGCTGTAGAATAGCAACGCGAATTTTTAGACACACAAATTACACTTTCAACCGACACAACGGCCTGTTACCTATAAGGAATTATTTACCCGGCATTTTCTTATTATATCACACAATTATAACTTCCAGTGTGCACCAAGCGTCCTCAAGCTCTTAAAACGCGTGTCAGCTTTGATAAATTCTGGATAAAGTTTGAGATAAAGTGGCAAAACATCAATGTCGGCATTCCCCGTAGATCATTTCTCCCATTTTCGGCTTTCCCCGCAGTCCGGGGCAACGCCGAAAAAGTCACTTCTTTGATATTTTTAGTTTGTGCGCTTAACGGTATGCGAATTCATCAAATGCGCCTGGTATGTTTGAAAGGCAAAAGACTGGCCTCTCGAATGACGCCAACAAGAATAGCTTATGTTGTCTACCTTGCGTGCTACGGGCGTCAGAAAAAAAGTATTCGGCGTTCCCCCAACTTCCCCTAGTACCGTAGTACGTATTGGCGACAGGGACGAGGGCGGGGACAGACAGACTGGGACAGGAATGGACGGGTGGGGACAGGGACAGGTATGGGCGACATACGGGAGGGGGGACTGTATTAGTGACAGGAGGGGACAGGTGGGGGCAGGGACAGGTATGGGTGACAGGAGGGGACGGCGCCGATGACCTTCAAGCCCGGTCGCCCAAAAATCACAAATCGTCGTCACCGGGTCCGACAGATATTGACAGATATTGACGGGAAGGGAGCGTCACGTGTGTCAAAACACGTGACACGAGAGGGAACGTAACCTATAGCGAAGCGAACGAGAGCGACAGGTGTTTGTTATCGTAACCTGATCTTTGTCTTTCACTCCCTTCTCCCCATAATTTAATCTTATAAGTCGCCCAAATGAGATAAAGAGCAAATGGCATTTTCTTAACGTGGTATGATGGTAGCTGGTACTATCATTATTTATTAATGGTGAATATTATAAAATGACACGGCGCAGCCATCTTTGAACACCGTTATGTTTGAAGATACATCATCGTATAGTAAGTATAGGTGTGTAACTGTCAGTGCTTTCCGCGATAACTAATTTTCGGACCTGCGATAACGATAAAACGATAAGAAAGTTTGCGATAACGATAAACGATAACATTTTTCAAAAAATTAACAACGATAGCGATAAAACGATAACGATAATGTTTTTAACAGCGATAACGAAACGATAGACGATAAAACGAAAACGATGATTTTTTTTAACGGCGATAACGAAACGATAAACGATACAACGATAACGATAATTGTTCTTTAACAGCGATAACAAAAAGCGATAAGAAATACAGCTTAAATAAGTGTACTTAAAGTTTATTTGCAGATCTATACACTTAGCAGATGGCAACAGGTTGCGCACACATACACTGTCGTACTGTCGCGCGGCATACACTGTCGATCGTCTTCCATTTTTACCTACATCATCCCGTATTACTTTTTATCGTTTATCGTTCATCATGTTTGTAACTTGCGATAAGTGGATGAGCGATAATTCTGAAAATTTAGCGATAAACGATAACGATAACCGATTTACTTAACAGCGATAATCCTCGTTTATCGTTTATCGCTCATCCTATCGCATGCGGAAACCACTGGTAACTGTGTAATGTGTATCTTCATATAGGCAGTGATAAAAACATTTTTAAACGGTAGCTATTTTATTTCACCTACGGTGAAAAAAAAATCAGACGGGACGAACTTTGATCATTCATTGGTTGGAAGGGTATTTTTCTGACACTTTTGTGAATGCGTTATTATGACTGTGTGGCTGGGATTGTGTGCCTGCAACAGTGGAACCGTATGATCTGGACTGTGGAACTGTGTGGTTGCCGGTTGGAGCTGTGGAACTGTGGCTGGGCCTGTGGAACTGTGTGGTCGGGGCTGTGGAACTGTGTAGTCGGGACTGTGGGTCTGTGAGGCTGGGACTGTGAACAGTGAGACTGTGTGGCTGGAACTGTGTAGTCGAGACTGTGGTTCTGTGTGGCTGGAACTGTGAGACTGTGTGGCTGGGACTGTGAAGCGCACCGGGCGGATGTGTGACTGACCGCAGCACACAAGGTGGTTACGGTTAGTCAGTCGGCGCAGTCACCGGTCGAAGGTCAGGTCCCGGCGCAGTGCAGCTGCCCCTCCCTCCATTGGTGCCGAGGCTGTAAACGAGAGGCATTGTGTCCGCCGATCGTTGGCAGCGATGGAATTTCCCGTCACGGTGCCTGGGGACGCGGCGGGACGCGGCGTGACCGGGCAGTGGGTCTGATGCCCGGCGCGATTTCCACCTCCCGGCTGCCGGCGGACGATTCCCCGCTCCCCGCCGACTGCCGGACGATTCCCCGCTCCCCGCCGACTGCCCGTGAAAGTGCCGCGCCGCCGGCGGCCGGCGGGCGGCTGCCCTGCGCGCTGCGCCATTAGGCCGGCGGCCCGGCGCGGCCCTGCGGAGCGGAGGCCCGGCTGATGAGCGTCTGTTTGCGCCGGCAGGTGAGGCGGCCGGCGCTGGCGGCTGGCGGCTGACGCCCGGGCCGACACGCTCGGCTGGCGCCGCCCGTCCGCTGCAGCCGACACAACGGAGCCGCGAGTCAAGGACCGGCCGGTCGTGGACCCGCCGCGGCCCGGCCGGCGCGCCCGGCGCACTCCGACACTCACCGAGCCGACGGCGTGACGGTCCCCGTGGCGGCCGTCGTGACTGCCCCCGTGACGGCGACTGAGCGCTCCAGTGACGGCGAGGGCAGCGTCTGTCGGCGGCAGTGAGCTGCCCCGGCAGCACACGGCAGTAGCAGTGAGCTGCACCGGCAGCAAGGAACAGTAGCAGCGACCTACACCGGTAGCAAGAACAGAGCAGCGACCTACACCGGTAGCAAGAACAGAGCAGCGACCTACACCGGTAGCAAGAACAGAGCAGCGAGCTACACCGGTAGCAAGGAACAGTAGCAGCGAGCTACACCGGCAGCAAGGAACAGTAGCAGTGACCTACACCGGCAGCAAGGAACAGCGTCTAGCGCGGTCTCAGCTAGTGACGCGTTTGTTGCGGTGGGACCAAGCGTGGCAGCGAGTCACGGTGCCGGCGAGTGAGCTGCAGTGCCTACTACGGTGACGGCTAACGGCAGTGTTCACTCGAGTGGGTGCTGTTCCGGTGGAGGCGAGTGACATTGTTCACTCGAGTGAGCATTGTTACGGTGACAGCCATTGCCAGTGTCTGACGGGCAGTCAGTGGCAGTGTCAGTGTCCGTTACGGTGACAGCCAGTGGCAGTGTGACAGCGGACGCCAGTGTCAGTGTCCGTTTCGGCGGAGGCAGATTCAGCCGGTCGTGGCCAGCCGCGCTGCCCTCATAGACGAGGCGTCCGTCACCGTCAGTTCGCCTCGGAGTCTCCCTCGCCGCCGGCACCATGCTGGCCGCCATCCGAGGACGCAAGAGCGAGTCTCCCACGCGCTTCAGCGAGATCAGCCTGCGGCGCTACAGGAAGAACGCCCGGTAAGTTCAACAGAGCTGCGGCGTGCCGCGGCGCTGCCCTGTGATATGCTCTGGGAATGGTCAATGGATCCAGCCACGTGACTGTGATAGCCAGGCTGGTTTTTAAATTCAGAATGTGTGGGGTGGAATGTGGGCTTCCATTGTGACTGGGTATTGCTAATAATTCAGAATGTGTGGGGTGGAATGTGGGCTTCCATGGTGACTGGGTATTGCTAATAATTCAGAATGTGTGGGGTGGAATGTGGGCTTCCATGGTGACAGGTATTGCTAATAATTCAGAATGTGTGGGGTGGAATGTGGGCTTCCATGGTGACTGGGTATTGCTAATAATTCAGAATGTGTGGGGTGGAATGTGGGCTTCCATGGTGACTGGGTATTGCTAATAATTCAGAATGTGTGGGGTGGAATGTGGGCTTCCATGGTGGCTGGGTATTGCTAATAATTCAGAATGTGTGGGGTGGAATGTGGGCTTCCATGGTGGCTGGGTATTGCTAATAATTCAGAATGTGTGGGGTGGAATGTGGGCTTCCATGGTGACTGGGTATTGCTAATAATTCAGAATGTGTGGGGTGGAATGTGGGCTTCCATGGTGACAGGTATTGCTAATAATTCAGAATGTGTGGGGTGGAATGTGGGCTTCCATGGTGACTGGGTATTGCTAATAATTCAGAATGTGTGGGGTGGAATGTGGGCTTCCATGGTGGCTGGGTATTGCTAATAATTCAGAATGTGTGGGGTGGAATGTGGGCTTCCATGGTGACAGGTATTGCTAATAATTCAGAATGTGTGGGGTGGAATGTGGGCTTCCATGGTGACAGGTATTGCTAATAATTCAGAATGTGTGGGGTGGAATGTGGGCTTCCATGGTGACTGGGCATTGCTAATAATTCAGAATGTGTGGGGTGGAATGCGGGCTTCCATGGTGACTGGGCATTGCTAATAATTCAGAATGTGTGGGGTGGAATGTGGGCTTCCATGGTGACTGGGCATTGCTAATAATTCAGAATGTGTGGGGTGGAATGTGGGCTTCCATGGTGACAGGTATTGCCAATTATTTAACGTCATAAGCGCACTGTGCTGATGGTGGCCGCTCCTACCCCCGGCCGGTGGGTAACAGCGCGGGTCGCCATAACTGGTCTCCAGTCCTGATATAATGCCAGGAGGCAGACTGGATAGATCGTCAGAGCGCATTTCGAAAGCATCATGACCAGTTCAAGCCTGTGATAACGACCTGCAGGTCACCGGAGGTCACAGTCTCCCTGTTACGCCATTATCAGACAAATGACGCAGTATCTCGCAAACTATAAACTATCGAAGAGCAATTTCCACGCAATAGTTACCGGGGTTCCGCGCCATCGCCGGCTATGCGCACTGCGCAGCTCGCGTGGTGACCCGTGGAGGAAGGTCGGGGTCAAGAGTGGACTCAGTCAGTCAGCATTGTCGGCCCAACATTCGGACCGAGCAAGTCGGCTTTCCTCGCAGTTCTAAATCGATTTATATCTAAACCTGTCATGGAAACGTAGCTATGCTACGTCTTTTGTTGGGATATAGGCCTGTTCGGAGTCTTTGGACAACGAGGAGAACAGATGACCTGGACCCACTAACAGTCAACCCGGGGATTTTTGCTGAAAAGGAGCTCCTCCACTTATTCCGGCTACCCTCAACCGTCCACTCCCCTCCCCCTCCTCTTAAATCGTCTCGCTACGACCCCCTCGCCTAGCCATATCGCCCCTAATTGACCCAGAGTTTCGCGAAAAAGGAGCGGTTGTGCCGTAACTGTTACGAGGCGCAGCAACCGGTGCCAAGTTTTAGTCCTCACCGGACCTGGTTCTCTACATGCGTGCCGGCCGAGAGGGGGTGAGGGTGGGTACGACCCCGTCGCCGCCCCCCCCCCCCCTAATTAAGCTAGAGCCTGGCGGAAAACCGAGCGTGTGCGCCGTTACGAGACGCAGCGATTGGTACCCGATTTTAAGGTTTCAGGTCAACCGGTGACATCTGAGTCTGACTTCAAGCAAGTGTACCAAGGCACGGGTTTGGTTTTCGTTAAAAAAAAAAATTACCAATAATGGTCGCAGAGCTGCGATTTTGGCACCATCGTGTTCTTTATGTTCAGACGAATCGAATGATATACTTTTTGTTTTGGTGAGGCATACATACCAGTTACCATGCGCAGTGGAAGGGGGAGGGGGCATATTTCGCCAACCCCTTCTGTTTTTTCGCCGATACCTCACGCCGTAATCATTCTATGGACGTCAAGCTTTCAGTTTCTGCCTAAAATTGAATTGCGCATCTTCCCGTGAAAGTAGTAAGCAGATCGGCCCGCAGCTTTTTTAGTAACAGGGGTGTACATAATGTCCAACGGCGGGGCGGCCGGCGCCGGACGGTTCCGTCTTTGCATTGCACTTCTTACTGCTGCTTATGATAGGTATATACGCGTCAAGATCTTAGATCTCAGATCAGATGAGACTTAAGCTTGGTAAAAACTAATAGCACCATCGTGCATCCTCTTGTCAATCCGCATCGAAACATATGATATGTGTTGTCCTCGAAAGGTCAAGGTCAAGGATTGACCTCAGGTCACTTGACCCCAAGGTCATCGTGTACATCATTCGATGTGCCTTGACGAGCTGAACACAATGAGATCATTCGCGCGGCTGTATCTCTTTTCTGTAAGGAGTTATTATAATAAAAAAAACGTTTGGCTATCTTTGATGACGTCACACGACGTTACAGCTGTACAATAGCAAACAAGACATCACGGTAGTCAGGGTTGGTCATAGTAGGTATAATTGGCCATTCTGATGCGTTTCAGCGAGAAAAAAACCAGGCGGTTGATTTTTCCCCCATTCACATACAACGGTGAGGTCAAGAAATTGACTTGACCTTAGGCCATCGATATCAAAATTCCGAGATAGACAAATTGCAGCTAACGATGGCCTTATTAATTGCATCCTGCAACTTTCAAAGGTCTCGGTCATCTACTGTAGCTCCGAAACGGTGACAAAGTTGCAAAATAGTGATTTGAGGTTGAGTCATTCAAAGTGACCTGGTGACCTGAGCTTGAAAGATAGGAGGTTCAAACTTGCGTGCCATGTGTGAAAATGATGTGGGAATAGTCATACCAAATGTCGGGGCGCTACGCGCCGTGGTTTTTCCGCTACTTATGAAAAACATTAGGGGGCGGATAACCGCCCCCCCCCCGTCGGTGCACGTTTCGAAACAGGACTTCAGTCTGTGCACCATTTGTCTACCTCTCAGTCTCCACGCTGACCCCGCAGTCCCTGGTGACCCCAGCTGGCCCGTCCCGCGGTCCCCTGCTGACTCTGCAGCCCCCCCCCGTAGTCCCCCATTCTGAGCCCCGCAGTCCCCCTGTGACCCCCGCCGAGCTCCGTGACCCCGCCGACCGGCCTGTCTAACCCCACATACCCCTGCTGTCCGGCCCCGCTGTCTCCCGAACGTAACTGAGCCCTGTGACCCTATCTGACCCGCTCCCCGCCGTCCCCCGTTCTCCCAGCTGACCAGTTCCGCTGTCCCTCTGACCCCCGGTGACCCGAGCTGACCCGCCACTCTGACCCCACTGACGCCCCCGGTGTCGCCGCAGGGTGAAGCGGAGCTCTGCGGCGGCCATGTCGGCAGATGAGGAGGCTGTCGTCGGCCACCGCACCTGGTCTCGGGTGAGTGCGGACCATCAGGAACACACGCAGATCGAACTCGGTCGGCAGCCAGCAGGACCACGGCGCTAGCGCGCGTCCTGCCACACGTGCGGAACGAGCGCACTTAGCAGGACGTTCCTTACCAACTTACAACCGTTACAATTATCTTCTGCACCTCGCATAGGTACCCACTACATAACCCCTGTTTCGGAAGTCGAATTATGTTAAGGTCCGTCAGTTCAGTTGTAGTCAGACACGTCAGTGGTCGATTCTTCGAGACGTTATTTGTTGACCTCAAGACCCCAACTGCAGCTCCAACATAGTCTTCGACCTGGGAAAAATTGCCTCTGATTCCGATTTGCGCCAGGTGGTGAATTGTCTTTAGGGGTGTGAATTGTCACATTCCTAATTTTTCACGCCCTTATGGGGAAATACCTACATTCACGTGGTCCCGTTTCCCGCAGCACCTCTGTCCAGTGTCCTTATACAGTATACTCCATGTTCTCTTGGCGAGCCACGTCCCCACAGTGGCCTTTGCACCTGCTCACGGTCCGACACCGCCCTGGTGTCGCGGCCTGTGACGCCTTTCACACACCCGTGTGACGCCGTGGGTGTCGCGGCGGAGCGGCGCATCAGCTGGCAGCGCGCCGTGACGGTGTTACGCGCCGCGCCATCACGGCGCCGTCACGTCTGTGTCGCCCGCTCAGCTCCGCGTGGCCGGGGGCCGCACGTGAGCGGCGAGCGCCTTCTTCCGACGGCCCTGCGATCGTGACGCCTGTGCTCTGAACGTGGGCCGCGGCATTGGTGGCTGCGCAACCCCTCCTCAGTTTATCGATAGTAAAGAACAGCTTTAAATATGCGTTTCATATCATATGCTAGGTAGGTACCTACCTAATATTTCACATATATACGGATTGCTGAGTTAGAACTGGCTCATTGTAGTAATTTAATTCAAAATTCTACCTTAAGTGTGCTGGAAGCTCGAACCGATAAAAATGAAGCAACTCGGACTCATGTTCAGATGTTTAACGACATGTAGTGCTGCCTGATATAACCCAATGTAGACGTAATAAAATCAGTTGCCTATATTTGATATTCACTATGCTGGCTAATCCAGTTTCAAATGATATAGTTAGTTCATTGACATTACGTAATTATTACCTTAAATTAACTAAATTGAGTAGTTTAAATAACTTCATGTAATGCTTATTCGCCAAAAACTGAGCCCGTTCCTTGGGGCACTTACCCGACCTCAGAGGTCACTGGTTGACCGGAGACCCCAAATTTGGCTGGGCCCACCAGTCGCTGCGTCGCGTAGCCGCGCCACGCTCGTTTTTTTGCGAGTATCTATTAACCCTCGCCGGCCGAGGGGGGTCGGATGCCGGCCCCCATAGGGTTTTTTTTCGCGATAGCTCCGAACACGTTGGCGATAGAGAGCTGAAACTTGGCATACCTGACCTTTGATTCAAGCCGGATCTTTTGACACCAACCGCATTTTTGGGTCAGGTCAGGTCACTGACCTATGACGTCATAAGTGAACCTCTGCACGGTCTTCAGATGTCGCAACTTCGCAACGCCCTCACTGCCAGAGAAGATGTCACAGGGAAATGAAACTTGCAGGATCTAGTATCCATTATGAGTCTCACAACTTGTATATCTCGGATTTTTTCTAAAGGTCATATGAGGTCAGGTCATTTTCGTGACCTCACCATTATAAGTCAATGGGGAAAAATTAAAACTGATATTCTGGCGCCGGGAACGATCTCCAACTATCTCAAGCACACAGAATCGTGATTTGATGCAGTCCTTGCAAGGTTAGATGCGTCACTTTTGCAATGTTGACCTTGCGTGACGTCATTTATGACGTCATCAAGGTCATATTAGTTTTTCGTCAATAACTCTTGATCAAATTGAGCTAGCGAGTCGGGAAAGCCACCAATGGACTCAGGAAGACCTGCCAAATCGAATGATATGCGACATGACCTCTTTCGACCAACTTCGTGACCTGGGGGTGCTGACCTGACCTTGACCTGAGGTCAACACCCCAAGTTGACCTGACCCGGACAAAAAGTATATCATTCGACGCGCCTGAGCGAGGCGAACACGATGCTGCCAAAATCGCGGCTCTGAGGCCGTTTTTTGCGAAGTTATTCACCAAAAACTGAACCGTACCTTAGGGCACTTGACCTGACCTCAGAGGTCACCGGTTGACCTAGGACCTTAAAATCGGATACCAATCTCTGCGTCTCGTAACGGCGCACACGCTCGTTTTTTTTTCCGCGACGCGCTAGCTCCACCAGGGGCGAAACGGCGAGGGGGGTCGTACCCGCCCCCCCCCCCCCTCGGCCGGCGCGTATGTAGAAAACCAATAGGTCCGGCGAGGGTTAATAAGGTCATGTGTGTGGGGGGAGGGGGCAAAGGGGACACAGCAAACCACCAAGTCCGGCGAAGGCTGGTAGAATTACGTTTGTAACCGTGGAGTCGTTAGACGAGACGTTTAAAATATTGTTCCAGGTCTACGAGTGGTTAAATTGCCATATCTCGTACCCGATAACGCCTACTGCCACAAAGTGCTGGGCATGTAACGGTCGTATAATTGTTTTAACTTGCGTTTAACTTGGTTTTTGCTATAAGTGTTTAACAAAGCGCTAAAACAACCCAAAGCAGTGGAATCTCAATGTCACATTGTAAGTGTCTAGGATCAAGAATGGTTCAGGTAGGTATGTAACATTCAGCCGTCCTTTAGAAAGGAAAATTACCAAGCTATAAGTTGGATGAATACTGATTCTTATCCCGCACCGAAACATGCAGTGTTTTCACGTGATAAGAGAGAAACTTATCAGATGTCGTTTAACTGATTTGTTAAACGTCTAGACGATTAACAAACTGTTAAACGTATAGTAGACATTTTGTCTAGTATGATTAATGTCGTATTTTTTTTACATAAAATGTATTTTTTTACCTTTAACCCTATTAGTGGCAGGGGGGGGGGTTGTTTTTATCCACCCCTCAGGTTTTTCGGGAATATCTCCGAAACCGCTAAAGCTACGATGCTGAAATTTTCTGACTTTTCCTAAAACTAAATTGGGCACATTCCCTGAAAATTTCAAGTTCATACCTTTACCAGGGGCGGCTCCAGAGCACTGGGAATTGGGGGTTCCTATTCGTGCGAGTCATTTGGGCGAAGATCACGATGCTGATGTATTATAACTGTATGCACCAGTTTTACGAGCAGTGAATGAAAGGTATCATGTGATAACATATACAAAGTTATTGTGCATCCTCTTTTGACACGTTTTTGCTATAATAGGCGGATCCAGGCGTCCAAAAGGGGGTTATGTTTTACCTCCCAACATAGGTGCCCTGACACCGCCTATGCATGACCAATACCTACAATTGTAGTCGTTCTCTCACAAGAAAATTGTAACATAACAAGACCATTACCACCCTTTTTAGAAACAGTACCAACAAAAACCTTATTTACTATACTGTTACGTTAATTACTCCTGGATAGCCCTGCCTTCCAAACTTCCTGCCCTTTTATCCCTGACACACATGAGTAAACTCACTTGGGCTGTCTATTTCCAGCCAGGCACCTTTTCAATGGTTAGAACAGCACGGTTTCCCAAGGTAACAGTTTGACCCGACAACACATATCAGCCTGTAATTAACAGCCTAACTACTCGTGTACAGTGACTCGGAGAAATGGAGCCATGGCAGGGACGAGGCTATGGGACAACATGCTCGGAATACCAAGCAGCATGGGCAGGCGCTCGGAACACCAAGCAGCATGGACGAGTGCTCGAAATATCAAGCACCAGGAAAGGGGACATTCAGGGGGTAGCCCTGAATGCACGAGCGCTGCACCGTCGGTATCAGCACGGCTCGTATCTGAGGAAGGCAGGCGAGAGGGCTGAGGAACGCGTGCTCACCTGCTCACTCCCGGGCCGGGACTGCCCGCCGCGGCCGACCCTGACCCCCGGTCACGCCACCAGCCAATCAGGGCGCAGTGTTCGATCACTAGCCCACATAGACTCGCAGATCACCAATCGCGTAAAGGTTCACCCGCCTGGTCTCGAACCCAAGGCAAAAACGGTCTCGACCAGGCGATACATGCGCCGTAAGCCACTAGGCCACCGGGACCACGGCGGCCGACATACCGCGCGTCACTTAACCCGCGCCCTGGTGGGGTCTGTTTATAACGCGACCTGGTGGGGGGGGGGCTATTTTTTGCCCCCCTCGTATCTCCGAAACTACTGGACGGATCTGCAAAATTCAAACGGCGTTCGAAAGGCCTGTCAAATTTGTCGAAGGAAACCAAATTTCATTGACCTCGGGGTCACCGATGACGTCACAGGTCAGGTCAAAGATGAAATGTTCCACCGTTCACGGGTCATCTAGGGAATGCGCTATAACACCGAAGAAAACGCATTTTGTCGAGAATCAGCGATAGGGCGTCAGTTGCCTAGTACATATGTTGTTATAAGAGGTCACTGACATTACCAGGTCAGGTCACAGGTCAGGTCACCAAGGGTCACAGGTCAGGTCACATGAACCTAACTTTAGATACGTTGTGCTATGCATGTTTTATGGCCAATTTTTCATTTCCAACTCAATGGTGTTGGTTATAAGACTATCAGGTACGGCTTAGGTCACTTTCTGGTGGAGGTCAGGTCAAGGTCAGGTAAAAAAAGGTCAAATTTCAAAGTTGATATTTTTGCATAAAATGGGTATTGATTCGATGCAGCTCGTCACGGGGAGTCTAATGGTGGTCTTTGTTTTGCGCTACGAGGTCTAGATTTGCTAAAAATTGAGTTTGAAAATTTGACGTCATCAATTTTGAACAGTTTTTTCGCTATAACTTGGCCAAAAAAAGAGGTATCGATCTCAAATTTGGTATGTAGATAGAGGGCGGTAGGGGCTATCACATATATTCCGGTTTTTTCGAAATTCAAAAAACTTTTTGGATTTTTCGGTTATCATAATCAAAAAATCTATTTTTTGATTTTTGGGGTTCAAAG